CAGTTGTTACACAAATGGATTTTGCAAACCAGGGCTTGTTTCTGTCCTATTCCAATATTTTCTGAGACACTCTGTGGTAGAATCTGTGGTTTTTGTCCACCTCGAAGCCCTTTGCCTTTCTTTGTTTTCAGCCCTGCCATTGTCTTTGGGGGGCTTTTCTGCTCTTCTGGGGTGACGCTCATCTGCGTTACTCTGATCATCTCAGACCCATATCGCGGGTAAGGCCAGCCTACCTTCCCAGCATTTTAAATTTCCAGGGAGTGGACTTGGATGCCAAGTACTGAAACAAGTCTTTTCAAAAGCTTTCCCCACCTTCAAAGAGTGAGGGCCCGAGTTCGATCCCTGGCACCAAAAACAAACAAACAAACAAACAAAGCTTTCCCCTGAAGAGATAGTTATTAATATCTATTTCCCAATTTTATGGAATGTCTCTGATCCTATCCCTTCCAAGCCATGATTGTCCATGTTTCCTTTGGGTTTTAGAATTTATTTTATTATTGCTCATGATTATGATTGTTATTACTCTCCTAGCATCTCTGTGGGTGAGTATGTGGGTTGTTAGAAGCTTTATACTGTAACCATGGCAGATGATTCTGAAAATTATTCGCAAGATGACATGATCTTCATTTAAAGATTTTAGTCAGTGACAAGGGGTGTGGGAAAATCGTGGGTCGCTTTTTATTCAAAACACAGGTTGTCTTTCTTTTTTGAGGCACATTTTGTTTTTATTTGTCCTGTGTATTTATATGTGCAACCATTCTCAGAAATATTTATTTTTTGTGTGAAAATGGCAGTTTGCTCATAGTTGTCATTTTCTGAAAGACAGCATGAAGTCATTTTTGAAGAAAAGGTCTGCCCCTGGCTCCAGGATTATCCAAGGTCATGTATGCCATGACAAAATGGTTTCCTAGACCCCGTTTTCATAAGAGAGAAGGCTAGAGGTGCCACTGGATTGTTTTCATTTTTCTTTCTTTCTTTTTTTTGGGGGGCGTACCAGGGATCGAAATTGGGTTCTTGAGCCTGCAAGGCAGGCAGTGGAACCACTGAGTTAAATCCCCAGCCCTCCTTGTTTTCTTTGATGTTCTATGATGGTGACTTGTTCACAGACAATGGCTTTAGGCTATTAAATGTTTGAATTTGTCTGAGTCCAGCTAACATGACTCCTACCTGGCTGAGGGGGGATGTTGTAGTTCTCATCTGTGAAGTGCTATATTCATTCCCTGGATTAAGTAAATAATAATGACTAAGTTTTAATTTTGCTGGGCTAATATGCTAGGTAAACAGTAAATAATTGTAGTGAGTCCATGAGATTATGGTCAGGGTTGGTGGTATTGATCAGCTGTCTCATTGCTGGGGAAAAAAAAATGCCTGACTTACATGAAATGGCTTGCCTCATAGTTTCAGAGGGTTCAGTCCCTGGTCAGCTGGCTCTGAGGCAGGAACATAGTGGCTGACAGGCCTGGGGGAACAAAGCTGCAAGGCAGCCAGGAAGCAGAGCAGCAACAAGAGATTTACCCTTCCAAGTCATAACTCTTCAGATCCACCTTCTCCAACTGGGCCTCACCTCCCAGCAGCCCATTTGGCTGGCTATTAGGATCAAACAGTTTCCCCATGACCCAGTCACTTCTCCGGGAGTCTCTTAATCCAGCCAAGCTGACAATTAAGATGAACATAGTTGGGGTTTTCGACACACCATTGGTAGCTGAACTTTTGATATTAAATTGTATGACAATGTTTAGATCATGTATAGGAAATGACTCAAAATCGTAGCAATCGTATCGATTATAATGGGCTAGGCACTACACTAAGTGCTTTGTAAAAAATGTGTTCTCTTTTCACAAAATCTTGGGTAGTTTGGGTTTATTACTATTTATAGAAAGAGGAATAGAATTCAAAGGCTAAAGATTTAATGTTTCCTTACCATACATTTTGATAATTTATTCAAATACAAGATGTCCTAGTCCCACATATTTGTACAGAGATTTCAAATAAAATCTATGTTTCTCTAGTACCTTGGTACTTGCTGAAAGCTTGGAAATAAGTGGAATTGATGTGTATTCTCTTAGCGACTCATTTACTTAAACTTTTCTGTTGTGTCCAACTCCTGGCTCCACTATTGTCTGCCAAATATTTTTCTTTTAATACTTGAGTTATATCAGAGAGATGACACAAAACAAAGGGAATATAGTCCTAAGAATTGGGTACATACATCCTCGACAAACTCAGTCTTCTTGTACTTTATTATAGTCATAAAAAATTGGAATTGGTGTATCATTTCCAAGTATCATTTTCTTGAACCGTCTCGGTTTACTTAATGCCTTGTGTCTTACAGCTTGTAAGTAGTAGTTTCAATACTAAAACATGAGTTATCATTCTTGATCTAGAATTCTTTCACTATTAAACCATGCACAGCCTTCCCAAGGGCCAGAGAAAAACCTACCTAAACTTGTGTCATATTGATTATTACCAGAACATGATTTAAATAAGCACTTTGTTCTTTGTGCAGGTAAATGACCACTCGCTCTGTTCAGTAGACACTCCACCTGGCAGGCCAAATAAGAGCCTAGATGAATAATTCAATAAAAGCAAGACATGTGCTACTGAGCCCTTGCTCCAGTCATTTTCAAATTCCAAACTTTCTCCCTTATTCTTTTATCATGTCCAGAATCTAATACCTTTTTAAAGCCAGAAATGTAAAAGTACCCCTTGATTTCTCTCTCTTTTGACTTTTGCCAGTCAGTCCAGTCTTGTAAAAAAAAAAATACTATTTGTTGTTGTTTTTTTTGGTACTGGGGATCAAACTCGGGTCCTTGCTCTTGCAGGGCAGGCCACCGAACCACTGAGCTAAATCCCCGGCTCCCCGAAAATACTATTTGAACGTGACTGTTTACCATCTTTCCTATTGGCATTAGTGTAGTTCAGGCAATACTATAGTTGATTACTTATAGTTCAGTTAATCATTTTCTCTTCATTTCAGTGATGGGGTCACTGCAACAATATTCTAACTGTGTCTAAAAGGATATATGTGATCTGTGACTATTTAGACTTCTTGGAGCTCTGGGCTTTGGGGATGATTTGTAGTTTTAGAGGGGTATGGGCAGAGTACGGGTGAGTAATAATGGGGGGGCAAGACCATCTATTAGGGCGGAGCGCAGAGTGCAGTGGTTGTTTCAGTGCCAGGCTTGCATCGTTATGGAATTTTTAGATCCAAGGGTGATAGATTAACTCACGAAGCAGGAAGAGGAACTGGCTTTGGACTGAAAAAACAATGGCAGTTTAGTAATGTATGAGGAAAAAATAAGAAAGCAAAATAAAGCTGGAGAAGTAAGATGGTTGCCTTCTCAGTGTTACTCTGTTTTAAGTAGGTCATATTTGTTGAATTGCATAACGTCTACGTTCTTCTTTATATGCTATCAGCCTTCCTGGGCTGGGAGTTGACTCAAAGTAAGTTGGGACAATTTTAACATTTAGGAGCCAAGGTCTGAAAGCCTGAGCATCTGTGCTGGGAGATTAGCGATGTCCTTTGGTCGTACCTTTTCCTTATCTAGAGGTATGAATGTGGTCAATGTTGTGCTCAGATAGGTTGGGTCATTGCGTTTTGGACTGCCCACGGACAGAGTAAAACATAAGCAACAAAAAGTTAGAAGTAGCTAAATTAAGTGAGATTTTTAAAAAAGATAAACTGGAAGAAGGCTACTTGGTATGAAAAATACCTTATCAACAGAGAGTGCAGCCACCACAAGTGAAGTGAATGTCAGCTTGCCAACCGGTGAGGCTGCTGGTTTTTGCTAAACCACTGTGGGATTATATTTACCCAGAGTACCAGTTCATTGTGTAGTAGACATGGTCTAGGGGGACACGTGTAAACAGTGGATTCCCTATCAAATAGCACACGAAGCCTGGGATTGGGTCTCTCAGAGCCAGGACAAATCAGTGTTTCCTTGAAAATGTTCTCACTCTAAACTCACAGGGATCCTGATTCCTAAATTGGTTTCAATTAAATATATTTTTCCCTTTTAAGAAAACAACACACACCTGTAATCTCTTCTAACTGCTGGCAGATCAGTGATGCTATAGCACTCCACATCTTCCCAGTGGCTGCAATTACACACATCAAGTTTCAGAACGGACAAGGTAAGATTCTGGAGGTAAAAGGCTACCACTTATGGTCCCCATTTTGCTCTCATGTGTCACAGCCTTTTATTGTTGGGAGTTATTTGGAGACACAGTCACTGGCTAACAAAACCATCTGTTAGTTAACAACAGCAAAATATGAGGCCATTTCAAAATGGCATGGGGTGCCAGCTATTTTTTTCCTTCAGTCTTTCCTTGTTAAGGAAGAATGCATTTGTTATCAAAGCCAGTTTGGCTAATGTGCTTTCGCCTCATGTATATCTAGAAATCAAAGCTGCCTAGAGAGTTATTTGAGGGTATGTTCTCTCCCTCTGGAGCCCTTCTCGCTGCAGCCATATGCTAATGACTGGAATTTCATGTGTACGTCAAGAAAACAATATAACCTTTATGCGAGTCAACCAATGCGTCCTGCTCAGAACATGCTAGATGTTGGGAAAGCAAAAAAGCTCTCACTGGACAGATTTGGTAAAAACCTTCACCTCTGTGCTTCTTTGCACTTCGCCATTACTTTGCCACCGTGGAGGGTGGGGGATGAGGAGTCTCTGCACTTTTCCCTCACCAGATAGTTTCCCAAATCAGCTAAATATAACTCCATTTATTGTCATGCTAAAACGCTCTATTTAGCTGTGTTTAACTGGATATCACGGTTCCATGGGCTGACCTTTCACTCCTGGGAAGTCGTTTCAAATTCAATCCCCAGCAAAGGAAAATCCTTCCAATTCGTTGGCTGTGAAAGGTCACAAGTGAGATGTGTTTTGATGGTATCGGCCTATGGTTTAATTCTCAGTAAACCTGAGCACTAACTGGGCCTCAATTGTCCTTTGTCTTGGGAATCTGAGTTCTAAGAACCCTGGGAGAGTGGGTGACATGGGGCTGGGTTGCTGGCGTGGGTCAAGAGCACACAAAGGTGCCAGCTGAAAGGTGCGGTATATGGTGCTGTTAGGTCAGTGCTGCCTCCTTTCTGAAAGATGGGGAATTCAGACTAAACTATATCATTTCTCTCCCTGTTTCATTTGATCTCTTTAAGAGGGACACTTCCCACTTTCTGGGAGGCAGAGAGAGAGGGTTTAGGTGAGGTTAGGGAAGGAGCTAGACGTGTGTGAACCAGTCAAGAGGAAATTGTAGTATCCTGAACATTTAGCCATTTTTTGAGGATCCAGACCATAAACCCAGGGTTTCCAGTTTGAATATTTCTGTTTCAGGACCTTTTCCCAATTTAAATTCAGTAGCATTTCAGTCTGTCTTAGGTTCCTCGCCATCGTCCTGGGAATTGTCTGAACTGAAATGAAATACTTTCATGAAATCTTATTAAAGAATCTCCTTCTTTAAAAAAATGTGTTTTGTCCAGCAATGCTTAGAGTTCTATCAGAGAAATTTGAAGAGTTCAATAGATAGGATATTGGGTGGAACATTTTGGAGTTCTGTGGGTTTTCTTTCTTTCTTTTTTTTTTTTCTTTTACTCTATTTCAACTTTTTAGTGACTCAATGACACAGTCTTTCAATCAACAAGTACAGTCTCTGGATCCTTTCTAATTTAAAAATGAAGGGAGCAGTTGGTCTACTGCTCTGCTCTGTGTCACATACAAAACCAGCCCGTATTCAGTGTTTCATGAAAACATCTTGGCAACTTTACACTTCTTTGTCTATGTTTATGTTACTTCCTGTCCCGAGGCATCTTCATTTTCTTATAAAAGTTCTATTTATACAGAGAAGCTAAAATATTACTTTTTTTTTTTTTCTGGACAGTGCTTAGCAGTCTCCCCCTTCTCACTTGTGGAGCGGGTGAGCATAGCTTCCGTCATAGTTTTCTTCTGTGTCTGTTAGAGTTGATTCCTTGGGGGACGTTCATCCATCTCTCTCAACCTGGCTCCCGGAAGGCAGAGCTGGGCCTTCTTCCTTTGTCTAAGCGCAGGGATTTCCCCAAGAAGGGGAGACTTGCGTCTTCCTTCCACAGAAGTGTAAGTGTTCAGGCTTTGGATGTTAAGCTTTTTAATACTGGGGGAAGAAATGGAAATGAAATGATGTCTCTCACCATTCGAGAGTTCCGGTAGCCACAAGAATAAGTGGAAACGAAGCATTCATTGTCACAAAGCAGAAAGGGCAGTTCTCTGGGAAAAAGTGAGAGGACTCAGTTTCCCCTTCCTCTGCTCTGTGTTGTCCGTTTTTCTTGGAAACTGTGGGTCTCGGGCGTACTCAGCCCGTTAGCACGGAGTTCAGGTGAGGGGCTGGCTTTGAAAGGTGAGGTGGAAGCTTATGTGGCTTTATTTCCTCTTTACCCGCATCTTCCGTCTACTGGATTGCAGGCTGGTCTCCGCTCCCCAACCTTCTGGAGAGGACAAAACAGGACATAATGCGTAGACCTCTGAGTAAGTCATGTTTCACTCAAACAGGATTTGGTAATTAAGGCCTGGTTTCTAGAGAAGCCGCATGCCCTGTCTCACTGACCTCTCCTGAAAGAGGGGCTTTCAGTAACCCACGGTGCTCCTGGGTCTCTGTCTGTCTCATATCACAGCACCCCGTTCTGACTCCGAGCTGAGCCTTTTGGGATTTGGTGTAACCCAATGTACGTGTTACGATTGTTGTGATACAATTCTGGTCTAAACAGAAAAACCCCTTAATCTTTTGGTGAGTCATACACTATGGATTGAGGGTTACTTCACCATAACAATGACCAGCGAGGCCACAGATGCCTTTGCTGGCAAGGATACCACTCATGATACTCCACTGCCACAACTCCTGGCTCAGCCAACTAACAAATGCTTCCAGACACCATGGTCTTCAACTTTGCTGCCCTCTGAGATTTGGTTATACTTCCTAAATGTTCCCTTGAAGGTGAATTTTACAAGCCTTTGTCTTAATATATTTTATTTTTTTCACTATTGGGGATTGAATCCAGGACCTTCAAACTGAGCTATATCCACTTAAAAAATCCTACCCTTTAAAAAAAAAGCCTATCCCTTTAAAAAATGTTTTAATTTTGAGACAGGGTCTTACTAAATGGCTAAGATGCCCATGCTGCACTTGAACCTGAGATCCTCCTGCCTCGGCCTCCCAGAGTGCTGGGATTACAGGCATGCGCCACCTGTGCCAGGCTCATTGATTGTTTTTGAGTGCGTGTCTCACATGGCTGCATTGGACTGGGGGATCCTGGGTCTCACGCATACATCTTAGCAGGTGGGGAGTTGAGAGACTTGGTTTTTTGTCCTCTATGTGAGAAGTGAAGACTTATAAGGCAAAAAGTTTTCCAAACATTACAAGGGCCCTCCAATGGTGCTGAGAAATAGAATAATGTGATAGCCTCTATAATATCCTATAAGCAACATAAAGTAATATGGGTTGAATGTACCAAATTTCTGTCTTTCTGATAACATAGTAGGATATAAAACATTTTTCTCTAATTTGAAGCTCTCATCTCTGACATCTCTTTCCTAGTGAAGCACCTTGCTCTTTTTTACCTCCTTTTCACTGTCTCATTCCTAGGTTCATTGTGCCATATTCCAATAGCACCAAAGTCCTGTCGGTGGGAACCTGGATGCAGCAGATACGTGTTCGGTTGGTGGTTTCCAACTAGAAGCCTACATCCCTGGTGGCCAGGCAGTGCCCACGCTTGATGTGGGTCCTTCAGTTGCCAACAACTTCCCAAGCCATTCCTTAGCTTGTGACTACCTTTGAACACCACACCTTTGATTCTCTCTTTGCTGCGTAAGGGGCAAGTACTACAGCCAGGTGAAATTACCCAAGTACTGGGCTAAAGGTCTTCTGATTCACGGATGTAGCTTGATTTTCCTTTTCCTGTACTGATTCTGTCTTGAAAAGGGTCAGTGTATCTTTATCTTGCTTGTGTGAGAGAGGCATAAAAATAGAGCTGCCGAAATAGATTTTCTTTTTTCCAAATGAGAACATCTCCCCGTTGTCTAGTGATTTCAGGTATTCGGCAAGGACCTCCAAAGCGCCAATCATGTCGTAGCCATTAATCATCTCTGCTTTCCCGATATTTGGTAAAAAAAAGTGACACGAAGCAGGAGTGAGATTCATGGTTGCTGTACGAGGAGTTGAATGGATGAATGAAACTTGGTTACAGCCGCAAGTATATTTCAGCACCGCAGAGCCATTATTCACCCTCTTGGCAAACTTATTTTTGAGAAGCTGCTTTCCTATAAAAGACATTAGAGATCGTGGAGCTCTGAAATAGACCTAAGAATACTAACAAGTACAACCACTTAACAATAACCAGCACCGTGCTAACCGCTTCATGCGCATCCGCTTAGTTCTCACCACAATGCTGAGGGTTGAGCATATTATTGTTCCCCTTTACAAAGGAAAGAACTGATTCTCTGAGAGATGAAGTAAACGAAAACAAGTTGGAAAGATGGATGTTTACACGGTGTCTTAGTCACTCTCCCATCACTGAGACAAAATCCCCAGCATCCACGATGTAAAGGAGGAGGGGTTTGTATTTTGGCTCACGGTCGGTAGGGCACTCAGTCCGTGGCTGGCCCTGGTCAGAGGGCAGCTGCTCATCCCCTGAGAGCAGGAGGCAGAGGTGGGAGGGGCAGTGGAGGGAGAGGGACCCTTCTAGGCCACACCCCCAGGGACCTGCTTTTAACCAGGTCTGAACGCCCCGTGATCCAGGCACCTTTTAAACCCAGGAGGCTTTAGGGCACAATAAAGTGGAGAGATACAAGAGCAATCAGCAATTCCTTAAATGTCACAGGGCAACACATTTGCAATACTCCAATTTCATGCGGCGTCTTTGTGTGCTACGTGGGTAGAATTGGGGCATCAGAACTTACCAGGTAGCCTTGGTGTAGCCTACGTGTTAGAACTAAGGAACTCTGCTTCATTCAGTACACGTGAATGACAGCCGGGAACTGTGTGAAGCTTGTGGGCAGGTGTGGGGATCGGCGCGTGGAGAGCAAAAATGTCCACAGATCACCGCAATTCATGTGGGCCTTCACAGAAATGTGACATTTGAAATAGGCTGTTTTGTTTAACCGCAGTTAGATTAAGAGATGCCCTTTTATTTCTAGTTTTCTAAGAGTTTTAAAAATGTAATTTAAATTAAACCTTCTGGAAGATAAAATAGGTAAAACACTAAAAGACATAGGTGTAGGAAAGGATTTTCTAAACAAAAGCTCAGTTGCACAAGTCATAGCAGCAGGAATCAACAAATGCGATTATATTAGACTAAAAATTTATGTACTGCAAAAGAATCAGTGAGCAGAGCGAAGAGAACCTACAGAATGGGAAAAATATTTTTGCCAGCTACTGTTCAGACAGAGGGACTAATATCTAGAATACACAAAGAACTGAAAAAAATTAAACTACCTAAAATCAAAGACCCAGTCAAGACATGTGCTAGAGAAATGAATAGACTCTTCATGGATGAAGCAATACAAGTGGCCAACAAATATATGAAAAACTGTTCAGCATCTCTAGTGGTTAGAAAAATGCAAATTAAAACAACACCAAGATTCTGTGTACTCCAGAAAGGTGGCAATCATTAGGAAATCAACAAGAAATGCTGATGTGCCTGTGGTGAGAAAGGAACCTCCCTGCATTGTGGGTGGGAAAGCACACTAGTACAACCATTATGGAAATCAGTATGGAGATTTCTCAAAGCATTTAAATTAGAAATTTTACATGACCCAGCCATTCCTGTGCTAGGTATCTTTCCCAAAGAGCTACCACGCTGTAGTGATCAATGTTTATAGCAGCACAATTTGTAATAGCTAAATCCTGGACACAGCCTGTATCCCCGTCAACAGATGATTGGGTAAACAAATGTGGTATCTATGTATAACGGAGTACTACTCTGCTATAAAAAACGAGAAATTTCAGGCATTTGTAGGAACGTGAGTGCACCTGGAAAATATAATACTGAGTGAAATAGTCACAAGCTTAAATGCCATATGGTATCTCAACGCAAAGAACATGATAAAGGATGGAGGAAAAGGGACAAGGGGACAGATCTCATCCATTAGGGAAGGGGTCCCAGGGAACAAGGACAAGGGCTGAGGAGGAGGGAAGGGGAAGTGGGAGCACCCACGCACAGGATCCCAGTAACCCAAATCGGTGTGGACATTGTACGCCATAACGTGAGCTAAGACAAGTACGGTCAACAAGTACGCAACAGGCGAGAGGGGACCAGAGGAGGAGAGGGAAGCGGGAGCGGAAGAGGACGAGGAAACAAACCCTAGCTGTGTTCTGTACGTGTAATCACTCCCCAAGATGACTGGAAATGGCATAAGTTGCAAGCATGAGCTAATAACATTAAATTTCAAAAGAAAAAAATTAATTTTTATAATTATGAACAAATGTTACATCTATTTTTAAAGTTTTTATATTTCTTTAAATATTTTTTTCTTCTTTTATTTATTGATGTAGAGAGTTACAAAGTTTATAATATAATATTTCCTAATTTAAGCCAGTCTTGCATTTTGGGGATAAAATATATTTTCATAGACCTATTTAGATCTTTGTTTCTTCTTTCTTTCCTTCTTTCTTCTATTTTATGCCTTCAATCCTTCTTCTTTTATTTATTTATTTATTTTTGGTTTTTTTGAGACAGGGTCTCACTATGTAGTTGAGACTGACCTGGAACTCACTATGTAGCCCAGGCTGGTCTTGAACTCACAGCGATCCTCCTGCCTCAGCCTCCCGAGTGCTGGGATTATAGGCGTGCGGCCACCACGCCCAGCCAATCCTTCTTCTTAAATTGTATGGAATTCATTCTTCTTAAATTTGTGGGGATATATTTATTTAACCTAAGTTTTTAAATGTATTAGCATAGAGTTTTAATACTATTAATTTATTATTTTAAATTTATGTAGAACCTGTAGTTATGGCCTCTTCATTCTTATTACTAAGTTTGTCTCTCATTTTTCTTGATTATCCTTGTAAGAAACTTTTCACCTTTTTAGTCTTTCCAATGACCCCTCTTGGACTTTAGTTATTTTAAAATTTATTGATATATATGTTTTACTCATTAATTTTGAATCTTTCTTTTCCCCTACTGTATTATTTAAAACTAAATTTCCTTCTAAGAAATTTTTTAACTTTATTCTTTGTTTTGACATATTGATTTTTCATATATAATTCATTTAAAGTTTTTTTTTTTTTTTTTGGTATTGGAGATTGAACTTGGGTCCTTGAGCTTGTGAAGCAGGTGGAGGAACCACCAAGCTAAATCCCCGGCTCCATATATAATTCATTTAAACTATCACATAATACTCTAATTCCCATTATTATTTCCTTCTTTGCTATAAATTATTTAAAATGTGTTTTTAAATTTCTAATAAAGCATATTTTTATCTTACCCTTTTTTGGAAATCTTACCTGTATTAGTTTTTTCTATCGCTGGGGACACAATACCAAACATCCACAACTTAAAGAACTGGTTTAAATCAGCTCACAGTTTTGGAGGATTCCGTCCATGGTTCCTGGCTCCCAGGCAGAAACAATGGCAGAAGAGGTTGGTGAAGCAAAGCTTCTTAGTTCACGGTAGCCAGGAAGCATAACAGGAGACCGGTGCCAGGCAGGAAGGGATGAGGTACCAGAACCAGTACCCAAAGTCAAGCTTCCCTCACGAACCCAGACACACCCAGAAGTGTGTTCCACCAACTCCCTGGGCATCTTGCAAGCCAATCGCATTGACTCAGTGAAGTTTAACCATCACTTTATCCTTATTACATTGCAGGATGAATATGTGGCTTAGGGAGTCTTTACGTTTATTAGACTTGCTTTAAAGCTTAACACATGGTTAATTTTTGTACATAGCTCTTGTGGTTTTGACAAGTAGCTGGATGCAGTGTTTTGTAATATGTCCTTTAGATCAGGCTTGTTATTTGTGTTGTTCAAACCTAGGTACTCGCTGTTCTTTGCTTGATCTATTGAGTGTATGAACATATACATTTCTCTTAATGATATCTCAATTTTGTATTCATGCATTTGAAGGCATAACGCGTAAGAGTTTAAAATTGTTACATGTTCCTTGTAAGTTGAGCCATTTATTATTATGTAGAGACCATTCTTACTTCTAGTAATGCTCTTTACCTTAATGTTTATTTTGTATGATTTTAGTACTACTCTACTAGCTTTCTTTGGTTCATATTTACTCAGAAAAAAATATCTTTCAAATTGTTAATAGTCTTTAGTACCAGGTAACGAGATGAAAGTAAGTTTTATTTTCTTTATCCTTTCGAGCATTTTCCAACTTATCTTTAATAAGTGCTTAGTATTTTCATAATAAGAAAAATTACTTTGAAAATTTTTTATTCTAAAAAATGTTTGAGCTAAGAGAGATCCTTCTCTGTGGTTAGGCTTAGTATTTTGAGACCAGATTCTCAAATAGCTAGATAGGTGCATAACAAAGTTACTGTGTCACAGAAACAGCTTTTAGCCCTGAAACTTTGATGAGATCGTTCTTGATTGGTTAAAAAAAAAAAAGCCAAATGGAGTGATAGTCTATTTTTCCTACTGCACTGTGTATTATCAGGATGAAAAATGTGAAGTCTTATGTAACACTTCCAGGCAGAATTAGTTACCTACTTTGGGTTTTCATAGCACTCTATAGCTATGAATCAAGTACTCATCACTCTCCTTGGTGGCTTTGAGTTGCTGGGAAGTAGGAATCTCTTTCTTTCCAGTAGCAGGTGCTCCAGACTTTAAGGCAGGAAGTTCCATCCATAGGATGCTGGAAACAAGGCCCATCCTCAGGGCATTGGTAGGTGCTCAGGGCCTCAGGCCTTCAGGGCTGGGCTCCCAGATCGAATACAAGTCCTTTGGCACCTAGGGTCAGGGCCCGTGGGATGCTGGCCGGTGGTGTCAGTGCAGGCCAAATTACTAAGTGGAAACGTCCTCACAAA